CATCCTGCCCGTGCCCACCGGCACTCTGCGGCACCGCGGGTTGGGATGGGCACAGGGTGCAGAGGGGCAGCAGGGGGGCTGCTGCTGCGGGACAGACAGACAGACAGACCCTACTCACCGCCCAGGCAGACAGACCGGAGCAGGGAGAGCCACAGCAGGAAGAGTGTCCCAGCACCGTGCCTGGCCATGGTCTCCTCCGTGGCTTTGGCATCACCTGGAATGGACAGAGCAGCTCGTCCTGGCAGATTGGGAAGGGGCTGGGGACAAGCGGGGCTGGAGGAGCCGTGTTGGCATCATCACCAAGGCTTCCTGGAGCACAAAGTCCTTTTGCCATCAGAGGCAGCCTCTGCCTGCAGCCCCGCTGACCCCTGGGCCCTTGCCCATGGAAAAGCACGGTGGTGAGGGTCCCTCACAGCTCTCGGCCCCCACGCCCCATCCCAGGGTGTGACACCCACCCCTGGCTGCAGTGATGGGCCGATGTTATCTCAGGTACCTTCTGCCTTGGCCAGGCAGAGATTTGTGGTTTGGGGGTGGTTGGCACTGGGGCCTGGGGTGGCAGGGGGCTGATAAGATGAAAGAGGGAAACAAAGGAACAGCAGCAGCACAGCAGGGCTGGGCAGAGCTTCAGGGCCTCGGGGTCCTGACTAGACACCCCCCAGATGCACCCCTGCCTGATCTGGGGAACGGCCCCAAGTGGCAGCCCCCTCTGCCCTGCCCAACCATCGGGTCCCCTCTGCTCCATGCATGTCCCCAGCACCTTCTCGGTGGTGCCAAACACTTGTCCCTAAGGGTCTGTCCATGCTGAGCCTGCCTCTGGGTGCCCACAGCTCCTCTCATCCCGAGACAACGGCCAGAGGAGACAAGGGAATTGAGTGTGGGAAAAGAGGGAGCAGCCCCCCAGCACATGCAGCTGTGCCAGGCAGGGGACCGGGCAGAGCAGCTTGTACAGCTGTGGGCACAGTGCTCAGCCGGACTGTGCCCTATCCCAACTTGTCTGCATCCCACTTCTCTCCCATCCCAACCTTGCCTCCATCCCCACCCACCTCTCCTCCGCCCGTACCTCTCCTCCGTGCCCGGTGTGTCCGGCCGCTGCTCAGTGCCCGCTCCCGGTACCAGCCTCCGGCTCCCGGCAGCTCAGCCCGGCCGCTCTCATGCTGCTTTCGCCGTTAGTTCCTCAAAACCAGTGCCGTTAATTGCTGTGACTCTCTGAAGAAGGTGATTGCAAAACACTTCCCTGCAGGCTGCGACCGCCTTGCTGGCTGCAGGAAGGACAAGCCCAGCGACACGCACACATCCCGCAGCGGGAGCAGCTCCTGGCCTCCCACTGTGCCCGCTCCCGCAGCCCGGATGCGGTGCAGCCTCACTGGGGCAGGACTGGGGGACATGGGCAGGGGGACATGGGCCTCGGGGGGCAGGAGGCAAAGGGGCTGCAAGCAAGGATGGCATCCCCCGGCACAGCCACGTGCTCCCTCTGTGTTCCCACCACGGGGGACACTGACCATTAAGTGGGGTTTCTCCACAGCCCCTTTGCAGGGCCCTGTCCAGCCACCCTGGGGGGCTCGTCCCCGGACGTCGGGCAGTGCTGCTTACCCAGGCCGGGCTGGCATCACCCCCCAGCCAGGAAACCCACGTCCTGTGGGATGGGATGGGC